TTTTTTTTTTACTTTTTCGCAATAGAAACAAATTTTATAACCAATTGTGGAAAAAAATATCACTTTAATGGACAATTTTCATGTAAAACAAAGTCAAACGAATAGAAAATTTAAAAATTTTTCGGGTGAGAAATTATACCAATCAAACACACTTGAAATTATTTTCCCTACAAAATATTTTCTAAGCAAATATTTTCCCTGTAAAACATTTTCTTTTCACCCATTTTCCACCCTTGCAATCAAACGCACCCTAACATATTTAGCCCTTGTTTGGTGGGGATTAAAATAAAATTTTCAGTAGATTTAATTTGATAAAAGTTGGTAAAATGTATGGTTGAAAAGTTATGAATTTTATTAAATTAATTATTAACATTGAATTAAATTAAAATCTTGATTTAATTCCCATCAACCGGGGCTTAATAGAATTTCGGAGACAATAAAATGGAATGCATAGGTGTTTATATGCGTGTGATGTCTTGAGTTTTTGTGTACGTGTTCTAATTCTTGCATATCAAACTCCAAAACTTTCGATTTTGTTAGTTTCAAACAAAACTATCTACTCAACTACTCTAACATACAAGCAAAATATAATAAGATTCAAGAACGAGATTGAAGTATTAATGTTGTCCATGTAGAATTCAAGATTCAAAAAGTTGCTGCCTCTTCGATGATAGTTCTTTAATTTATGCTCATAAACTATGCTATACTGATTCTTCTATTGAGGCTCAAGTGCCCGTGGTGGCGTTCTTATGCATCCATTATATGCATAAAATTGTAGACCTTTTATAAATCAGATACTCGTCTGTCTGTCGCATGGATCCAAATCCATGAAACAAGGCTGAAAATAAGCGGAAGATTTTTAGTTTTGAAGGGCCTCGTATAACCTTTCTGGTAGTCTAGTTCTCTTCAAATTTTCTTCTACTACAATATTCTTATTGAAAACTCAAAATTGGAATCTTGATGTGTTTTGGAAATCTTAGATTGGAGTAACATGATTGTTGAACCAAATTTGGCAGGCTAATAGACCAAGCTTCTGAAAAAGGAGTGAAAGTTGTTCGATGCAGCGCTTCAAACGGGAAGGCGGTATGCATTATCGGGTTCTCAAGTTTCATGTCGTATTCTATTTCGTTTGTTTCTGTAGTATCTAACAGAGTTCAACTCGAAGTACTCTTTATGAAGATGTCACGCTGACCATTGAGATTTTTCAGTAAATTTCAGGTTTCTACCATAGTTTCATTCTTGTTGGGGCCTCAGCGAGCACAAAAAATCCAAATATACGCACGAGATGTGGTTCCTTGTAAGAAGCGATTCAGTAAGCTTCTATGCCCACCGACTTGCTTTTGATGAGCATGGCTTCATGCAGTTCTTCTCGTTTTATATCATTTCTGTTGAACTGTCTCATCTAAGAGTTCAAAACTTTTAAGAGGGGACTGTAAAGAAAATTGATTCTTGAAGAAGAATTGGACAACCTTAGTTTTTACAAAAATCTGTTGGAATAAAATCAGTTGAATAGGAGCCTCAGTTACAGTTTTTTTTGGTTGGAATCTATTAACCAACTGGACCTTGAGTTAGGTAGTAGTTAATAACTGAATTGATGCTCCATTATGTCTATAAATAGGAGCTATAGGTAGTGCATAAAGGTGAGCTCGAATTAGAGAAAAAAGAGAGTACATCTCTGTGAGAAAAGGAGAGCTTGAGAGTGGTAAAACTCTGTAGAATTCTGGTATAAGAATTCTGTAATTTGAGAGAGATAGGATGTATTTCTCTGGAGTAGGAAGTGTAGATTTGGGAATGTAAATCTGGAAATTCTTTCTACTGATTCATGTAATTGAATGTTAAGTTTCTTGGTGAATAAAGAAGCTTGAGGAAGAGGTTTTCTTCCTGGTTATAATCTGTTTTTCTTGCTGGTTTATTCCTGTTTTCTTGCTGGTTTTGTCATCATTTCTTCTGAATTGCTGGTGTTGTTTTCTCGTTTATAATTCTGCAATTCTGCATTGATTTTGGAGTGGGAGGGGGAAGGTAAAATTCCCAACAATTGGTATCAGAGCTTGAAAATTTCTGGACCTGATTTCTGTTTTTTTTAATTGGCTAAATACATTTCTTGTGAAAGATAGATTCCTGGCCAAAATCTTGATCACATAATGTCAACATCCAAATTTGAGGTAGAGAAATTTAATGGCAAGAATGACTTCAATTTGTGGAGGGAGAAAATGATGGCACATCTTGGTAATTTTGGATTGGAAGAAGCCTTGGAAGGGAACTCAAAGACTGATGCTGAAGTTTTGAAAAAGGCAAGGAACACCATCATACTCAGCATCTCTGATACAGTTCTGAGGAAGGTCATTAAGGAGAAGACGGCATCTGAAATGTGGAATAAATTGGAAGAGCTTTACTTGACCAAAGCTTTGCCTAACCGGATCTACCTGAAGCACAAGTTCTACAGCTTCAAGATGGATGAATCAAGGTCAATTGATGAGAACATTGATGAGTTTACTAAGCTGGTTTCTGACCTGGAGAATCTGGACATCAAGATTGATGAAGAAGATCAAGCCATTTTCTTGTTGAACTCTTTGCCACCAGCCTTTGATCACTTAAGGGATACCATTAAATATAGCAAGGAGTCCTTAACCCTCAAAGAAGTTGCTGCAGCAGCCTATTCGAAGGAATTGGATCTGAAGCTGAATGAAAGACTTGCTAAAGGGAATGGAGAAGTGCTAAGTGTCCAAGAAAGACAAGAAAAAAAGGTATGCTAGATTTGTAATCAAGAAGGACACTATAAGAGGAATTGTCCAAAAAGAAACCAGAGGTGGATAAAGAAAGGAGGCAAGCAAGATGGAGAGTGTGCAAACATGCTTGGAGGCTATGAAGTTGATGAAGTGCTCTGAAAGTTCCAGCTGCAATATGTCTGAAAATTCTCCTCAAGAATCAAGGAGAAGATTGTAAAGAAAATTGAATCTTGAAGAAGAATTGGA